CTCATATGTTATCCCTCCCAACCCAGCTACCATTCTTGTGACCCTGTGCTGACCTGATTCTAATCTAGGTATGTCTCTCCTATAATGTGAAGCCCAGAACTGGACACAGTACTCCAGTTATGGGCACATCAGAGTCATGTAGAATGATATCAACACCTGCCTAGATCTGGAAGCCACACTTCTGGCTATACATGCAAGGGTGGCATTTACCTTCTTAACGGCTGCTTCACACTGCTGGCTCATGTTCAGCCTGCTGTCGACAAGTACCCCAGGATCCCTTTCACAAGTGCTGTTCTCCAGCCACTTGTCCCCCATCCTGTACCTGTGACACCTATTCATGTACCTGTGTCCCAAGTGCAAGACCTTGCACTTATCTACTTGAATGCCATCTTGTAATCCTCTGTCCACTTCCACAGCCTGTGCAAATCCATCTGGATTACCTATTGTGACTACTGCCCCCCACTTTGGTATCATCTGTGAATTTAGTCAGCTGACAGATTACCCCTTCCTCTCCCTCCAATTACCATACAGAGGCAGCCCATCACACCATAGTTCTAGGACGTCAATCCTTAGGACAGAGACAGGGAACCTGTGGTCCACCAATTGTTCTTGGACTACAGCTTTTATCAGCTGCAGCCAGTATGGGTTGTGGTCAGGGAAACTGTAGTTCAATAACATTTGAAGGGTTCCCCATTCCTTGCCTTAGGTCAATGAGTTGGCGTAACTGAGTATTTCCCAACTTGTAACCAGCACATGTTCTGACGTACAGCTCCCAGTAGCTGGCCATGCTGGCTGAGACTGATGGAAGCTTAAATGCTAAATATGTGGAGGGCACCAGGCTGAAATAGTTGACCACTACTTCCCATTTTCTTCTGATTTTACAGGTTGAACTGAGTGGCTGAAATAAACTACAATAGTTTGTTCAAATGGGACTAATGGGTAAATTGCCACTAATACTATAATAGTTTATTCACATGGAAGTAATTGGTTTTTCATGTATGGCAATTTCCCACTATAATAGTTTATTCACATGGAAGTAATTGGTTTTTCATGTATGGCAATTTTCCACTGTCATTCTATCAGCTGGCCATATTCCACTGAAGTAGGCAAAAAAAAATTCCATGAACATTATAAGAATCTTGTAGATTAAAAGGGGGCATCATTTGATAAAGAAAGATGAACTAGCCAGTCTAGAATAAAATATGGAGCAAAAATAGGTATCCTCCACAAAAGGTATTGTGGAAGATAGCTAGTGCAGACAGGATCTGTTAATGTGATAACACCTTTGTCAGTACAGTATTCTGTAATTTACTGCTTCTCATTGCATTTTGGCAGGTCACTATTTTCAGTATTAGATGCTAGGATATGTAGGAAAAGTGGGAAGGAGAATGTTTTAAAACAAAAACTGTAAATAAAATATTAATAACAGTAATTTATATTTAGATCTGAACTTAGTCATTCTTTGAGAGAATCTCTGAAATCAAGAGACTTGTTGGTTCCATTTATTTCAATGTGTGACTAAGTAGGTGACTAAATTTCATTCTTCTATTATTTATGTGAGATGCAATTCTCCAGATGGATGTCTAGCATCCCTGAAAAGGTGTATCTTGATTATTGCTACATATTCAGATAGTCTGGCAGCTAATTTCCCTCTCTTTTCTCAAAGCTTTACTAGTATGGATAAATACGAGTATACTAACCATGTACATATAGTGATAAATGTTGTCTCATAATTTTACACTGTTTCTTTGTTATATCACCTTACATGAATAGACTGCAAGTTGTTGAAACATTAAATTTTATGTAATGGGCAGTCCTTTTTCAGACCTATGTAATGAGGCATTAGGCCTCCTTTGGTACTTTTTATGTGTGGTCAATGCAGATTTCTCTGAAGCAGATCTAGGTACTCAGTAATGTATATCTCCATAACTCAGTGCAGGCAACATTATGAATAAGTGAACATTTTGACAGTTAAGGCATATAGGATGACTGTACTCATAAAGCACCATTTTCCAAAATTTGTCACTACCTTTCTTTTTGTTCCCTGATAACGAAAAGCCTATTTTTGGAACAGTATGCCAAAATGTGAATACCAGAGTTACAGGTTATGAACAACCCATATTTACAAATGAATAAACCCACAAGTGTCACCTTGTCTTCTAGTGACTTGGGGGAACCAGGTGGCAATGAAAGGAGGAAGGGGGGGAAACCAAAGGAGGAGAGATGAAGCACTGCTGACAAACAGCAAAGTCAGAACTAGAAAGTGACTCCAGTGGTAAGCCACCCCCCCCCTCCACCAGCACAATCAAACCCTGACGCTCCAGGATCAGGTCCATCTCCATCATCATCCAATTAATGTTAAGCTTAATGTTAGCTCAAGAAGTGTTAACCTTTAATGATCTCTTGACTATTTTTTCTATCTAAATAGTTTGTAAGAATAATGAACTACTACAGTATTATTCTCATTATTAAAATGCTATATTGTGTTTAAGATATTTCAGTGTCTATGGACATGTTTCTTACGTGTTTTATATGCTTTTTATATACATGATCCGACTTGCATATAAATTTGACAAGGACATTTTCAGCAACAAAACCTGTCTGTAACCTAGAAACTACCTGTACTAAATAATAATTGAGACTACCTTGTCCAAAAGATCTCCAGAAAAGCCATAGAACTATTGGCTACTGAATTCAGCATCTAGACAAATTAAATTTGCATTATATTTCATTTCTGTACAACCACATAGCCAAAGCTCTCAGTGTGGTTTTCAACCATGCATTAAAAACAAAACTATACAATACAATATAAATTTCACAAAATCAAAGCAGCATTAAAACAAACTGAAAAGAGCTAAAGATACAGTTTAAATGACCTTGGAAAAAAGAACTTGGTTAGGTAATCCTCTGAAGCCCCTGGGTAGCTACAGTATATCACAGAATGTCTATACCCTTCACATTTTGTAAATATTTTATTATATCTTTTCATGTGACAACACTGAAGAAATGACACTTTGCTACAGTGTAAAATAGTGAGTATACAGCTTGTATAACAGTGTAAATTTGCTGTCCCCTCAAAATAACTCAACAAACAGCCATTAATGTCTAAACTGCTGGCAACAAAAGTGAGTACACCCCTAAGTGAAACTGTCCAAATTGGGCATTATTAGCCATTTTCCCTCCCCGGTGTCATGTGACTCATTAGTGTTACAAGGTCTCAGGTGTGAATGGGGAGCAGGTGTGTTAAATTTGGTGTTATCTCTCTCATTCTCTCATACTGGTCACTGGAAGTTCAACATGGCACCTCA